ATACTGAAAACAGGTATATAAATAAATCAAAGTCATTATGGTCATTAAGTGAAAGCATAGAAATATACACCAGAGACCCAATTAAATAACCTACTCCTGCCATAGACCACAATATCTTCAGGGGAAACTGCTCTCAAAAAACGAAGCATCTGCGAGAACACTAGCATGCTACGGACTTCACAAAACTATCCCCCTTGCATACATATTATCTGCACACAGAGCTCAGCTTTAAGACGCTAAATAAATGTCTGAGTCAACTAGAAATGCTCTCACTGCCAATATTAATACAATAGTTTCTGATACTGGAAACGAGAATAAAAGGCATTCACTCGGGATTATACAATTTCTCTGGAATGTCAACTCCTAATTTGATTAATACTTCACACACAGAGAACAGTATTTCCCAGCATTGGGACACAAAGGTGTCTAGATATGGATGAATTTATTCTGGACTAATAATTTCTTGTCAAAAACAATACCGTTTGGACTGACCTGAAACTACTCACAAATGTGTTACAAATACTTCTAATAGCTTTGTCCCAGAACAGTGTGTGTGTGCGGGGGCAGGATTCAGGTGCTGGTTGCAACATGGCCACTGTAGGAGGCGGTGATGGTCTTTCCCTTTGTAATTTTTAGCCCAGTAGTTGGCGTGTTCACCTGTGAGGTGGGAGATCTGGGTTCAGTTCCCCCTTCTGTCCAGTGCTGGGCAGAGCCATGTGTGACACTGCACTCCATATGCATTATGAAAATATGCTTGTGAATATGATATAACTGGAATATGCTTTAGGCTAAGTGCCCCATGTAACATATCATTTTAAAGATCATAATCTACTAATTGTGTTCATCCTATTTCTTTGCATGGATTATTTCTATGTCTGGAATTAGGAGAATAAGATATAAACTTGTATCACTGATGGAGACATATTAAGTGGAGGCCATTAAGGGTTCTTCAGAATCTATGAACTGAGAATGGCTCTGTTTACCTGCAAACCTTCCTGTCTATGTGTGGGCCAACCCAGGAAGAATGGAGACTGGGGTCTTACAGTGACATGTAACCATGTCACCTGATACTGAAATCCATCTTGAAGCTGGTACTTTTCCAGACGGGGGTGGAAACCCAAAGAAGGGTTTTCCACCTTAGGGAAGTTCTATATCAAGTTGGGAAGCTAACAATGAGTGTCTTCACCTGGCGTAAGAGACGGCCTCCCGACCCCACAGAGATACCTGCAAGCACCTGGAAACAAAAGGACTGTAACCACAGGAGTGGTTGACCTTTTCTGACCTGGGTCCAGTCTCTTTTATCTGACCTGAGAAGGATTTTACCTGAAGTAACAACTGGGATGAGAAGTTAACATTTTACAATTGATTTCTGGGTGTATTAAGCTTAGCCTTGCGTGTTTTGCTTTATTTTACTTTGTGATTTACTTTGTTCTGTCTGTTACTACTGAAAACCACTTAAATTCTTCTTTTTATACTTAATAAAATCACTTTTGTTTATTTATAAACTAACTGTAAGTAATGGTTACCTTGGGGGGCAAACAGCTGTGCATAGCTCTCTTGCAGTGATATAGATGGGGAACATTAATCATTTTACCCTGTATTTATTTATTTGGGGTTCAGATCCCGTTGGGAGCTGGGTGTCGGCCTGCCGGAGACAGGTCTCCTGCTGAGCTGGTTTCAGTCTAGATCTGCAGCTCTGGGGTCGTGGCCGAGACCCTGGGTCTGTGCTGCAGCAGGTTAGCATGTCTGGCTCAACAAGGCAGGGTTCTGGAGGTCCAGGCTGGCAGGGAAAATGCGATCAGAGGTAATTTCAGCACATCAGTTGACAGTCCCAATGGGGGTCTCTGTGACCGAACCCATTACACTCTGCACTTGGGTTTCCTGCATTTCCAGAAAGCATCCCAGCCCCAGAGTGATGTGCAATTCCAGTCTGGGTTGCTCTCAATCTCTCCTTTCAAAGTTCTTCTACTGTGGATAACTAATTAAATAACCATTGGAACAGAGACGTGAAGTTGAGAATCTCACCCTCCAAGTGGGTGCCCCTAGCCACCAGCTTATAGAATCAATCTCTCTTTCTGGACCTGTGATTCTTCCTGTATTTTGTCCACTGATCTCATTTGGGGCCTGCAGACCTTGTTGGAATACAAACAAATTAAAAATAATAACAATATAATAATGAACAATATTCCCACGGGCTCTGCAAAATTACATTGCAATGGGCTGGGAATTGAATTCACCTGTTTCCACTCCCCATCACGAAATGAATAAAGAGTTAAACAGATTCAAGAATTGGTTAGGAGTTTATTCATTGCTCTCTTCACAGCATCCTTCACCTCCGTGTTCCTCAGGCTGTAGATGAGGGGGTTCATCATGGGGATCACCAGCGTGTAAAACACTGAGGCCACTTTGTCTGTGTCCATGAAATAGCTGAAGGTGGGACGTAAATACATGAAGAGGAGGGTGCCAAAATACAGGGCTACAGCAGTCAAGTGGAAAGTGCAGGTGGAGAAGGCTTTGTGCCTCCCCTCGGCAGAGCGGATCTGCAGGATGGTGGAGATGATATAGACATAGGAGAGGAGGACAGTGACAAGGCTGCTCACTAGAATGCAGCTCATAAAAACAAACATCACAATCTCATTGATGCGGGTGTCAGAACAGGAGATTGCCAACAATTGGGGGATGTCACAGAAGAAGTTATTGATGATGTTGGAGCTGCA